CTATCCGTCATTGCTTACCTAACATGAATATTTATAACGGATTCTGAAATTCATATTATGATTATATTATTATTATATTTATAGTTTTATTTATCATATTTGTATTATATTAAGCTTACTGAAATTTTAATTCACTGGACTATAGTATTCATCACATAAGTTGACATTAAAAAAACTTCAGGAATGTATATGACCTACAAGTAATCCAGGACATTAGATGATTTTTTGTATGTGTCTATGTATACCAAGTCTATCACAATTGACAAACATTCGACCAAAATTAATTTTGTTTTGTTTGTTTGTTTTGTTATTGATAATTTAATCACTGTGTTATGTTCAAAAAATAATTCGGTATGGAACTCAGAAATTCAAATCAGTCTAATGTGAATAGTAATATTAAATGTAGAGGACATATGAGATATCAGACTGTTTCGTGTTCTGGTTGGAAAACTGTTTACGTAGTACCATTTTCACATGTATTAAAGCAATAAAAGCTGTCAGTCAAGAACTTTTAATTCATTTTAAGTGGACATCCATTGTTACATGACTGATGACTACTGGTCTCCGGTTTACTTAAGGGTAATTGAAATCTATTGCAACAGCCTTAGCATTGAATTTTAGAGTAGATGCATGTATAATTGCATTATTAATAAGATCATTCATATTATCAGAAGCATCAGGGGCTTTTTATATGCATACTAGTAGTAGACTTTGATGTGAAGTGTTAACTGATATCCAGAAAGATTAGGTAAACTACTCAATATACTGCCTTTGACTTTATTGGTTGTTAGAGAATCCAAGACATGTATAAGACATCCACCCGCACGTTTAGTTTCTTTGTTACATTGTTAGAGCCGATAGTTCTGGATATTTAATTCTGAATCAAACACTATAGGAGAGCATCATGTTTCAGTGATAAGTATGAAAAAAATGTTTGGCTTGTAAAACTATAGTTCTTAAGGCCGAAATATTATTTAGAAGTAAACGTGCATTGATAAGTAATAGAATTAAAAAGAAAGTGTGGGATGTAAAAAAACCGGGAACATACTTATTGATGTTATGTATTTTTCAGATGACTGAACTATGGTTTAGTATGGCATGAACAAGTTGTAGTGCTAGAGAGACCAGGGATTTCTGAAGGACAAAGAGTCATTATTTTGACATGGTGAACTTATTTGCTGAAATTAACTTGACGGGCAATTAAGAAAGCCACCAGCTCGTTGGGGTTGAGTTAATGGTGCACAACCTAGCAGTTCATCTTGCCTGTCTGTAATGTGATGAGAAAAGTTATATCTTTCAGATTCAGTACATAAAGAGTTTTTTTGGTGCAATCATGGACCACGTTTGTTTCTTGAAGGCTGTCTAATCCTAGGTATACGTACGTCAAGGTTGTTGTAAGCAGTTTGTGCATTAATTACCCTAGGTATATTTGTTGATTTAGGTTTATCTGGGATGATGAAATGGTGGATTGACCAGTTCTTGTTTGTTTAGCTATATAACCACCCCTACGATTAATAGGGTCCAACATGGTGTTGGGGTGTATATTATTGTCTAGTTGATCCATTCTAATATTTTCAGTATTATTTTTGGAACCAAACACTTCTATATATAGGTTATTCTCATATGGTTTAGATTTTTTAATCTTGACAGTATTTTGAAAAACTTTAAAGTTAAAACTATAACCTTAGATTTAATTTATTTGCATAACAATGTAATTAATCCGAAGTTTTTTTGGTCAGGTAACAATCAATACTTTCTGTGTAGAATAGTTACTTGCTAATTAGTATTAACAGAGAATCTGTTTGATCGTTATGAAAGACCTTTTTATTTAGAGTAGGGCCTAATAATGTTGTTGGCGCTAAAATAAAACCATCTAGATAAGAGGATGTTATACCAATAAAACTATTCATCCAAGTTACATTTCTCGTTGATTTTTTGTCAAAAGAATATTCGCTTATTGTAAGGAAAAAATTTGGTTTTATGGAAGGCAATTTGATCAGTCAATTTCTTTCCAGGCACATTTGGATAACTCTCAGTATTATCCTGATAGATAAATTAGTTGAATGTTTCGTGCTATTTGGTACTTGTCGTGGATAGTTCAGTGGTAACATCTCTGACTGTGAAACTGGGTGACACGGAATCGTATCTGTTGGGGAGCATCAGTTCCCTCAAGATTACAGGTTAAGCTTACTGACGAGTGCCAGATAGCACGAAACCCATGTCCAGGGTTTACAACCACCATCTTATTTCGACAAAGTACACGTAATGTCGAGTCATCTAGACTGGTGGCCACATTGCAACTTGGTCGATAGCGTCCGATCTGCACTAAGAAGGGCCTGACACATATGACATTGATCACCACCCAGTGATCAATCAATCATGAAGTCAATATTGTATTTCGTATCATCTCGCGGTTTAGTACTTTAATTACATCATAGTCAGATGACTTCGTATATTGTAAAAATCATTTGTAATGGCTTCGGTTACCTCCGACGAATTACTGGTTACTTATTTATTTAATTGGCTATTTATTTTTAAATAATTTGGACAGGTTCTTTTTCATTGTGGTCTGTATTTTACCAGTTTAAATATTACGGGGAATAAAGTTGTGATTCTTTAATGATATTTAACTGTTGATCAGTTAACATGTGTTAAGTAGAGCACAATCTCAGTAATTAATCATATGTAGATTGAGACTTTTCTTACCTAAGTGTCAATAATATTTCACATAAAAACTACTACTATAAACTGATTTCATATAGTTTAATGTCTTTATTGCTAAGACCTTATACATAAATGAAATAGGTTTCGATTTTAATGAGTGTGGCTAGTATGATAAAGTGAGATTAGTCAACTATTTCTTATCCATCTGACAAACAAGAATAATACTAAGTAAGTAAACTTAAATTATCATTTAGAGGACATCGATTCAAATTATACTTTTAGTAAAAATTTCTACTCCATTCTAGTTAACATCGCATGCCAAACTTGCTGGAGACGTTCTGGAAGATGTGGAATCTTTCACGTACCTGGACAGCAGCATCATCGATGAACAAGGATGATCCGATGCTAACGTAAAAGCGAGAATTGGCAAATCAAGGGCAGCATTCCTACAATTGAACATCATATGGAACTCAAAACAACTGTCAATCACTATCAAAGTCACAATCTTTAATACGAACGTCAAGACAGTCTCTCTGTAGGGAGCTGAACCTTGGAGAACTACTACAACCATCATCATAAAGGTACAAGTATTTATGAACAGTTGACTGCGTAAGTTACTGAATGTTAATTGACCGAATACCATCAGCAACAGCCTACTTTTGGAGAGAACAAACTGGGTTCCAGCTGAATAGGAAATTAAGAAAAGACGTTGGAAGTGGATAGGACATACATTGCGAAAATAATCAAACTGTATCACGATTCAAGTACTAACTTGAAATCCTAAAGTGAAACGGAGAAGAGAAAAATCAAAGAACACACTACGTCAGGAAGTGGAAGCAGGCATGAAAAGGATGAATAGCAACTGGAAGCACCTGGAAAGATCGTGTAGGACAGAGCTGGATGGAGAATGTTAGTGGGCGGTAACAGACATAAGTAAGTAAGAAGTAAGTGTATGCCAAAAAAAAACGAAATTCGTTGTTTTTATTCCAACCTGGCATTACATTAAGATGAAATAATTGTTTTGTACACATACAAATGATGAATACATTTGTTTATCACAGGAAGTATTCTATCAGCAGAATGATTAATTAATAGTATTATAAGAATAATTAGAAAAATATGAAAACAAAAACATACAGAAAAATATCATTAAGATCGTAGAGTAAATTGGCTGATGTATAGTTTTGTCCTTAAATCATGTACATCCTACAGTAAGTGAAAAGTGTGACTAATGATTTTATTGTAGTCTCTTTTACGAATGATATTTAATTATTATGTATTTTAGTAAATGATAGAACATAGTATTTGATGTATGTTTATGAATAACTGCTTTAGTATACAAGACATAAATATAATCAAAACAGCTCATATGATTATTGTCTTAATAATTCATAGAAATGTTAGATTACTTAGTAATAGTTTAACTCACTTTATGAGTTCATAGAAGGCTTCCATTTTCAACCTCTAATCGTTTGTTAAACTAACAAAAATATATTATAACCGTAAATATATTGTGAATTTACTTCGTATTGCTTACTTGAATCATCCTATTGATGATTAGGACTACAATTAATCAGTCTCTTATTGGCATATATGCATACTGTGCATATTGCCTCTATATTGTCTTAATTCTCAAGCATTATAAGCAGAGATGGATAGTGGCTAGCAGTTAAATCGAAGACGTGCGTTTCGTCCTATTTGGGACTCGTTAGTTGGGTGTCTCATAGTTGATGTTCACTTGAATGCTTGCGAATTAGGCAATATACACAATATGCACATATGACAATAAGAGACTGATCATTGCAGTCCTAAACATCATTGAGAAGATTTAACTAAACGAAGTGAATTCAAAATTCACCCGATTGCATAAGCAACTACCTAACTGGACTCAGTAGCTAAGTGGATAATGAGATGGCATTTGAAGTGAACGGTACTATTTTTGAGTCCCGGAGTGAACATCAACTCAAGGGTATAGGTACATCCAGCTAACGAGTCCCAAATAGAATGAAACTCTCATCCTATATTCCATTGCTAGCCATCATCCATCTTCGTAGATATATTGTTCCTGAAAAGTAGTAGTATAACGATCACTTATCAAAAAAAAATATCTCTCTATTAATTAAAGGTTTGTGAAAATTTAGTATATAACACATTTTAATGATTGGAATAATTGTTTTCAAGGTTATGAATAAACCAAGAAAATTATTTCACATATTTTACCTTATCTTTCTAACCAATCATTATTTTATATGGTTAACTACCTGATTGGTAGAACTTAGACCAATGAACTGATTGTATATGAAGAATTCTTTAAACTAACTTGGTACTTCAAGATTATTATTACCAGTTTTATGTACACAAATTATTGTTTTTCAAAGATCCTTATTCGTGATCTGTATTGTACTCAACTATATCAAAGATTATAATTAATCATTACAAACGTGTTTAAAAATAGTAAAGTTTTGTTTTTCTGGATATATTTTAACTTTGGAATAAAAATAACTATTGGATATAATTGCTGGAATTTATTCATTTATAAATTCTATAGTAGATGAATGAAATATGAAGTCTACAAATTCGATTGATCAACATACTGATAATACAAATTCAAAAGATATGATCAGTCAAGGTAAATAAATAAATAAATAATGCAATGTTCGTTTATATTGATTTTGAAGTAATGAATACTGTTTGCCCATTTTTAAAACAAGATTTAAGAGAGAGGGGGGGTTTTGTGGAGATTGTTACAAATGAATAGTTGAATTCATGAGTTGATTAAAGTTAAACTACCATGGAACACGTAAATGTACTGAACGGCTGTTTCGTCTCAGTACGAGACTCCTCAGAATTCATGAACGCACACGCGGGATTCGAACCCACGACTTTCATTTTAATTTGAAATAACCATATCTTGTAATTTACATCAGAAATTTACTGTTGCTTCCGAAAAAGTATATTAATATCGATTAAATTGGTTTTACAGAACCTTAACAGATCAAATTGTGGTTTGACCATAATCTTAATTAAGTAGTGTCATAAGTTTCTATTTAACTCTACTTGCTTATGTTAAGGCGATCTTGTTACCTCATAAAAAATTATTTATGATTTATCTAGGAGTAGATATTTGATTTTGTTGACATCTACTACTAGAAAGACTGTATGTTTTAATGAAGATAAGAACAACCTACTGACATATAAAAAGAATAATCCATTAAAACGCAAATAGTCTATTCATGACTAATTGTTTAGAAAAAAACCCACTATAGGTGAAATCATGGATTATTGGAATGAATATGACAGGACTAAGTATTTGGACAGGTTATGTCATATCATGTCAATTAAGTCACATCTCCAGTAAACAAATACACAAAAAAAACATTTGGTTTATCAATTATTGATATAGATTGAAACCAACTTTCCAGTTGTTCCTTTTCTAACAAAATCTGTTAGCTTTTTACTTTTTCTTTTAAATAATCCCGTTTTGATGAAACATGGATATAAACAATTATATAACTATACACCATATGTTTTTGGTGATTCTTTGGATTTCTTCTGAGCTTTTATTATATATACGAGTTGCATATGTTATAATTATCAATAATCATATCAATATTATCTTTAAATGGATGATATACTGAAATGCTTAAGATAAGTCAAAAAAAAATATATTAGTTACTGAATTGTTTATGATTATTACATATGCAAGATTTACTGAAGGAGAACATTTGTTTCTTTTTAACAGAATATCTAATCATATAACTAAAAAGGCATAAGATTGAATCTGACAAATGAATAAATTGATGATTTTTCCTTTTGTTTATCTTACTGATAAGGCAAGAAAATAAAGTTAACATTGACTAATGAAAAGTAATTATAGAAATTAAAATCATTTAAGTGGAATCGTTTCGATTAAATATTAATGCCATTGGATGCTGACTCAGTGGTTTAGAGGTTAAGCGTTCGCGCGCAAGACTGAAGGTACTGGGTTAGAATCCCTCGAGCGGAATCATAGACGCGCACTGATGAGGGGACCCACAATAAGACGAAACGGCCGTTCAGTGTTTCCAGGTTTTCAATGGTAATCTAACGTCAATCACTTCATGATCTCAATCAAAAGCATTTAAGTTTAGCTATTTCAAAAAAGGTAAAATGAACTATGGAGAAAATTATCTTTTACTTGGTATTCTTTTGCTTGTATCTTCCTATTGAGGTTTAAGACTGCAATTGATCAGTCTGTTATTGGCATATATGCATACTGTGCGTATGCCTCGATATTACCTTAATTCTTAAGCTATTTGTAAGCAATGATGGATGGTGGCTAGCAGTGGAGTCCAGGACTCGCGTTTCGTCCTATTTTGGACTCGTCAGCTGGATGTACCCGCATCTCGAGTCCCAGAGTGAACATCAACTCTCTAAGATCCAGGTACATCCAGCTGACGAGTCCCAAATAGGACGAAACGCGCATCCTGGATTCCACTGCTAGCCACTATCTATCACTACTTACAAAATTATCTTTTGTTTTTAAAATGAAAAAAAGTTGATTATTAAACTATACATTTGTATTTCGACCAAATCTATCAATGTATATTTTTGCGAATTATGATAATAAATAAATATAAATTTAAATGTGATTGCTTTAAGTAGTTGGTTTCAGCTTGAAAATCATTGGAGTATTCGTTCGAGTACACCATAATTCATGATAAATAGTATAAATGTCTTTGTAAAATCTTAATTAACTGAAACGTGAATTTCCGTGACAATGTATTTAGCCTTAGTTATTTCGATAGTGATTGAAGTAAATTTCCTAAACCTTCATTTTACTTTAATTTCAAGTTTATTCTATGGAATTAACACTTTTAAACATAAAGACTGGAGATCTATAAAAAAAGGGAAAGAAATTAAAATTGTTTTTCAAGCTTACAAAGTTTCAAAGTGCACATTGTACCAACAGTTATTAGCACATCAAAAGTATTAAATCGTAAAATATAAGAGTTAGACACTTATAGTTTTAGTATCAGAAGGGGTTTTGTGGAGATTGTAGTAATTTGAATAGTTCAGATCATGAGTCACTTGAAGCTAGACCACCATGGAAACCCTGGAAACACTGGATGGTTGTTTCGTCCTATTGTGGGTCTCCTCATCAGTGCGAATCTACGATACCTCTCGAGGGATTCTAACCCAGTACCTTCAGTCTTGTGTGCGAACTCTTATCCATTAAACCATTGAGCTGGCATCCAACGGTATTATATATATATGCTTGAAGCAATTAGTCCCGTTAGACGAAGATTGTCAGAACTACGTGATATATTATCGGAATACATTTTGAACAGTCTGATCACACATATACTTGTTAAGAACATTTATATATGAAAACTAAAATGTCAACCAGACTAGAAATGGAGGGTAAGAGGAGATAAAGATAATGAAGAAAATAATGTGAAAACAAATTGAAACTTAATCACTCTGGATAATAAGCTAATATTATAAGGGTAGATTTAATATGCGAAAAAAACTGTTCTTAAATACACAAAGGGGGTTTGAATTTCACATTATTTCTATATTATCCTTGTCTCCTATTACCCTCTATTTTTAGTCTACTTGATTTTTTAATTTTCATATATAAATGTTCTTAACAATTATATATGTGATCAGATTATTCGAAATGTATTGTGCTAATATATCACATAATTCTGATAATCTTCAGTCTTATCACACTATAAAAACTTATATTTTTTCGGTAGAACAATAATAAAACGGAATTAATCCGAAAAGTATAATGTACTTTCGTTATACATTTCTAACAATCTGGTCACATATTCTTTGTATGCTAAATGAAAATGATAAATTATATTTAGGATATTTTCCTACTTGTTACTATGCAAGATTGTTTTTTTATAATCTTAGTTTGTATTGTCATTTAATGGTTTCAAATGTTTTAAAATTCCCAGTCTTAACTGTAGATTAGGTATAGACTGAAATAGCAAGTTAGTAATTTACAATGTCCATAAATAATTAAACACTTTAGGTTGATTGGTTTCTTATTGTTTCTGAACATAATTCATTTCAAATATACATAGATAAGTTTGAGATGTAAACTGAATTAATGTAAAGTAGCTTTCATAATATTGTGGTGTTTGCAACTGATATCGACAGATATAAGTATTATGTGTCATCAATCGAAAGTGAAATGCCTAATGGCAGAAGGTTAAGATGATCAAAGAAAAGTGAATGAGAACAGAGAATGATTGCTGGGGAAATGAAGGAACAGTCAAGTTTGAGATAATTGATTTACGTTTTGCAAATGAAGTATTAACAGGCTACTAAGGTTTTCTGTAATTTTGTGTTCAAATACATTCGATTGTCTCCACTTATTTTGTCGTTCAGTGCAATATCTGTTATTTGAGACATGTCATCTGGCTATTAAGTTCTGTCTTGGGCTCGTCAGCTGGATGTACCTGCATATTAGTTCTGATGTTCACCCTGGGGCTCTAATCGTGTAACCTTTGCTTCCATCGCTAGTGGTCACTCATCTCTTCTCATAATGTCTGCGACGTAAGTCAATATTAAAACAATTCGCACAGGATGTACATATTCCAAAAGAGGCTGATGAATTGCAGTTCTAAACATCAATGAGAAGATTCAAACAACCAGTACAACAAATGAATTCAAATTAACATTGAAAATATTTTGAGTATACAATTCTAGATACTGTTTGGATGCTCATTTATCTATCTATCTCACTATCAATCAACCAGTCTATTTATCTACATTATCTGTCTTTCTGTTAACATAAATTGGAATCCTTTTTATGAATACTATGATAAATCGTACTGTTTTTCCATTTTTTTCAAATAATCTTATGCATTTCTGATAAATAATTGTTTGAGCATATGAAAATAATAAATCGGAAAATACACCACAGATTTAAATTGTCTTTAACTAACTATTTAAACTACCTGTCCATTAATATCCCATATATAACTTCAGTAATAAGAGTAAAGCGATAAGAATCACCAATGTTTCCTATGTATTTCAATAAGCTTTAAAAATTAACATTTAGAAATAAAATAATATCCCAAAGGCTAATCAATAGAATCAATTCTTTCAACAACAAAAAAGATAAGGAGACGGTTATCGAATGATATTAAAGTGTTTCCCATGTAAAGGAAATTATTTGATTACAATTTTCCATTGGCTTTTTGGTACGATGAATATGAGGAGACATTGAAAGTCAATAATTTTTAATGACCTTCGAATATCTGATTCCAATTTGATCAGATGATTATCGTTATCGAAATATGCATGTCGCTTATACTCGTACATAATCATCAACTAAAATCGCATTGATGAATAACCGAATTAAAGAAGTCAAATACGAGAATAAATTTTTTGGTACGTATAGTTCGCATAATCGTCGATCGGAAAGCAAAGTAAAATATAACGGAGAGGAAGAGTAAGCCAACTCGTTTTCATCAAACATGACTCAATATTTCTAGTCAGACAAAAGTAAATTACAGACACATGATGAATAAGGTAATTAATTAACACATATACGATCATATAAAAATCGTTCAAGATTAATAAGCGAATAAGTGACAGGGTAAAAATGTTGCTTCATAAGAATGAATA